ATATATATATATATATATATATATATATATATATATATGAAATAAGTTATATTTAGTAAATCTATCAAATTATATCCATCATCATTTGCCCTACATTTAGACTCTTTCCTCTTCACTTGGTTTAAAACTTCCGCAAATCTAGTGATACTTAGGCGATCTTGGTAGCTCCCAAGTTGTCCTTAATCGGTTCTAATTTTCAGGACAAGAAAAAATGATATCTTTCAGAGTAATTGAAAGAATTCGATAATTAATGATATAAAATTAGAAGTTATTAAGAAGTCGAAAATAAAGTGGACCTTTTGATAATCAGTTAAGTGTAAGTTTTTGGAATTTCTTCACTTTCGAATCGTTGGTTATGAAATCACATTGTTACTGCTTTGTCCAGATAATGTAAACCATGAAAGTCATCCGATCATTGTTGAAGTGCAGTATGTATGTTCATTTCTATAATATTTGAAACAATAGGCAGTTGTTTCAAAAATTACGGGAAAGCAAAGTCTTATTCAGCATCCAATATATACATTCTTATATCTGCCATGCATTATTACATAAAGGAATAAAAATTTTTTAACTAAGAGAAATTGCAGATCATCTCACCAACATTTTTATCACCACCTGCTTCCTCCATTTACATTGAAGAGACCTAATGTTTCAATCCGGGAAAAAGCTTCGCTTTACGGAATGGTCCATCCGGAGAGTATCTGTCGAAGGAACTTCACCACGGAAGAAGAAATCTAAGAAATAACAAGAAAACTTCTGCTGTTGTCTAGTCCTCGCGAAAACTCAAAAGTGACTAGCTGCAGTTGCTGGTCTTCTCTGATACTATTAAAAACTTGGTAGAAATGAGAAACTTATTCCCCAAATAACTGCAGTTGAACTGAATCCTTTTATCCACTCTCTTCAAAACCATTCGTTCAATGGTATTTCGACGATACCGTCAACAACAATTTACAAATATTTGGTTACTCAGTCTTAGAAAAACTTGCGGACAGCAAATTAATTTTGCCATTGAAAAAGGAAATATGCAAAGGTTGCATTCAGTAAACCGAAATTTTGCTTGAATTGATTTCAAGTTCTTTGATGCTATTTCCAGTTACATATCATTAACAATGTGTTCAAAATTACTTATTGGTATAAGAATGTTTTCCCAACATTTGATGGCATTATAAATCCGTCATTGAATTTTATTTAAATGTAAGATCATCGATTTTCCAATACTTTTTAATTTGTCATCAGCTTGACCTTTCACTTTTTTCTAACAAGATTAACACTAGTTACTTTTGTTTTTGTTTGGAACTTTTGATAACAGTAATTAATAAATTGAAGTTTTTGCAACTAAAAATATTTTTAACTGGGTAAGATGCAAAAGGGATTTGACTAGGTTAGGTGAATTATGATCAGGAAAGTTTGTTTTGAAATACTCAGCGTTAATAGCATTGAGTTCAGCAAGGTTAACCAAAAAGGATTTTATAATTTGTTTTATTATTTATCAAAACTAAGTGGCTGTTACATGCCTGAAATCCCTTTTTTTTTCTCTTCACACCTGAGAGTTTCCAAATTAGGCAAAAATTAACCATCTAATTTACTCATAGCGTTTTTCTTCTCTTTTCAACCTATGTTATTGGCACATTGATATTCAATAACAAGCCGAATATTTGGGCATACTGGAAAGACCAATTTTTTTTGCATTGATATAATTCAAAATTAAAAGTTTATGTTACCACAAATTAGATTTCGAAAAAAGAAGAAAAAGGAATTCATAATGGATTCAGGCTTTTGGTTTTAGTATGTAGTTTGAAGTATATCAACCTTTTTCAGCATTTTTTCATCTGAGCTATTTCAAGTTTTTTCATAAAAATTTAGGAAACACGCGAAACCAAAATTAATAAATAGTTCTTTAAAAATTCTTCATTTATATGAAATTTCTTGAAATTGGATAATTATTTAAACTCGGTGTACTGTTAGAGCTTTAACACTGCTTGGTGCCGATTGACCTCTAACCCCCTGCTGAACACTATTGCACTGTTGCATCATAAGCCATCATTATCCTTGTTGAAGTTTTCATGGTGCGGGTTCGAGAAGAGGAAAACGTTGATGGGATGAAAGCCCTCCAACTTATGTAATGTTACCACTATTCATGCAATTTTCTGATATCTTACCGTTACCGATATGTAAATTATTCGGGAACATGAATGAAAATTTCCATGTTTCCGAATAATTTACATATTTAAGATTCCTTGAGTATTTCAAGAAAATTCAAGATTTTCTTGAGTATAATTTACATATTCAAGATTTTCTTGAGTATAACTGAATTGTTGCAAATCTACGTCAAAATTGCTATGGCATCACAGTGATGCTACTACGTTGGAGGCAAGAGGGGGCATCCACAGTTTGAACTTGACCTTTAAACCTGAAATCAGATGACAAAGTAAACTTTGAACCTTATTTTTACTGAAAGAAAATAAAATAGCAAATAGTTTTGTTTCTACTCATTAGTATCTACTCAGTACAAATCCTACCATCAATCAAAATGATCATATCCGGATGTTTTGGGACAACAGATGAGAGTCAAAACAAATAAATTCATTCTGCCTCAGTGCTTCCAGAATTACTGGTCGAGCGAGGTGCAGCCGGTATCATATATCACGATGCCCTTGAGATGAGCTGTAAGTAAAGTAGTGTGGGAGTCACTTTAGCGCAGTACTTAATTGCCCGTTACTAATGTGACCCTTGATGTTGACACTCTTGCAGAGTATCATCATACTAGACATTAAGATTAGATTATCACATCATTGAAAATAATTTTGTTTTCTCACATAAATTGTTGCTCGTTCTAATTATCATATCAGTATGATATTTATAATTGTTGCTTGCAGAATTATGAGCAAAGATTTAACCTTGACCAGACTAGACAAGTATATTTTATTGCTTTTTATAAAGCAAAACATTAAGATCGCATGCATGCAAACAATTTTGAACAATTCGGTTGAAAGTGCAAAACTGTAAAAAATAAGGTTTTGCACATTCGGATAGCAAAAAGAAGAGAAATTAGAAGAAAGTGTCAATAATGGATGACATCCTGCTGTGTATTGTACTTTGTTGTAAGAGTTGCGAAGACCGTTACCGATCATGTGTCACTTATAATTATCTGAGAGGTAAACAAACCATGTTCCGAAGGAAAACACTAATAATAGCAAGCGAACATACATAAGTTTGCCGACAAAATATGTTACAGATAATTAATTCACTATCGAATTACAAATAGCTCTTATCCGACAATAATTTCTGATTAAGCTAGACTTCTTTTATGTGGCTTAGTTTGAGGACAAGAAAGACCTTTTGATCTAAACACAGTTGACGCAGAAATATAATATATGGAAAGTAATGTTATGGCTCTAATTACCTTTCAGACGTACTTTTTACTTAACTTAAATCGACATCTCTATTTTGAAGCCTTGTGATTAATACAAAATGATTTGCAACTCAACGTTTTAGGGTACTCAGCTTGTTATCAACCGAGACATAAAATGACTGCCCAAGATGACTTGCAGCCACTGTTCCACCTTCTTCTTCTTCTTCTTGACCATCGTTGAGGATCTGCCTTAAGGCATAAATATAATTGTTGGCCATTCGAAGAGTTTCTAAAGGCAGCAAAGCTTTATTTATGAATATGTGCAAAAAGTGTTCGTCCTAAAATGGAAGCTCTAAGGACTATTTGGAAAAACGAAAACAATCACCAATTTTAGTCAGCTTCGGTTCATCTGGAAGTTGTGGTAATGTGCGTCGTAACTTTTCCAGTGCCTCGTTTAAATTATGCATCCGACGGCGTTCGCGAGCATTCGCTTTACTTCGACGAATTTGCTTCGTTCGTCGGATGGTTTCCGGACTTCGAACTCGACAACGATATTTCCGTTTTGTTCGTTTCACCACATCTTGTCCAGTAGTTTTGCTCTCACATTTTTGCACCGACTGAATATTTTTATTAAATTTCGGCAATTTTCGTTGGAAAAAGATTTAAAACACCATATATATTTTAAAAGGATGAATGTTTTATTGATTTCCGGATTTTGCTAAAATTAGACTGAAATTATTAGACTATCAATAAACTTGGTAAGGTCAAAGTCACTGATAAAACCTGCATAACACACTGTAAGAATGAGCACCTAGAAGGAGTGATCTTAGCTTTATCAGTTTTATTGCATTACTTCACCATATCAATAACACTGATAAAGTTGGTAAGAGTTTTAATTTACTGCGCAAATATTGCAATGAATACGAAAGCAGGTGAATAAAAAAAAAAAAGTAGTAGTGAAGGAATAAATCACCACGCTTTTTGATCAGAAAAATGAATGAGTGACAAATAGATGAGCATAATACAATTTAACTTACCTTATCAGTGATTAAAAATATATCAAAAAAGAAAAGCTGTGGTTTAGTACAAAGTTGATATGAGACAAGCAAAGTAAGCAAGCGCTTTGTAATGATACAATGGAACAACCTGATGTTGACGTGTATACGTGGAAGTAGAAGATTTCTGATTCAAATACTTTGAAATCAATGACTTATCCATACACGAAACGCTGTGAATGGCAGTTCCTTTTACTGTTGGTGCTTTAATTGGCGTGAAAGGCGTGGTAAATGATTAGACACTAACATCTATCATCCACTAATTTACAGTATCCGCATGAAAAAAAAAGGTAACAGAAAATGCGAAAGCTTTCCTAACTTTAATGTATTTATCCATGCGGAGAAACTTTTTCTACCGATTTTACAATGACATATATCCGGCTTCCGTAATTAATAAATTTTTACAATTTAAGTGCTGTTTAAATTGATTCTTAAATGTATTCTGTTCCTGTCGTTTTGAAAGAGTTGTTTTTTGTTTAGAGCAAATCTAAATAACAAACAAATTAACTTCAAAAAAAAGTTGAATATGAAAGTAATGAAGGGAGAAATAGGAGCAACAAACGCTGGAAGAGAAGAAAATAAAACTGAGCAATCAAAATCATTCCGGCTTCCGCTGTAAATCTCATTTGAAAAACATGAAATACAGCTATGTTCTCCATACATTGATGCTTGAGTTATAATCATATTACATACTATAATATCGAATAAGATGAGCAAAGTTCCGGAAATATGAAAGAAAATTGAATGAAGTTTCAGGTCCAGTTGGACCTTTTTCCGTTACACCAATATCCGTCTAATAAACTTTCCTCATTTTTTTATATTAAAATGGATTGATTAAAATTCGTGATTCTTATCTTGTTGATACTGTTTGTGTACAATATCCACTTTTATTCAGAAATTTTGCTACAGTTTTTCTTTTCCTTTTTTAATGGTTAATATACAGAGAAGTACAAAAAAGAAACATATTCTTCGTAGGTGAAGAAAATGTGACACCCAGCAATTTGTATAAATGAAAGCAGATGTATCAAGTTGTAGTTATACCAATCTGTCATTCCGTTGACAGTACAAATTAGCATGAAGTGAGGGATGGGAAACAGTGGCAATCTGATCAGATAAATGGATTACTAAATTATAAGGGAGGAATAAAGAAGGAAGAAGAGAAGGGTGACGACCTCTTTCCGGAACTGGGGAAATAGGCATACCTTATT